TTCTAATTGAATTCCATTGTGGTTGGAGAGCATAGTTTGTGTGATTATAGTCTTTTAAAACTTGAGGCTCTTTTTTATTTGCCAAGGGCCGGATCTCTGGAGAATGTTTCATGTGTGTTTGAAAAGAATATGTATTCTGCTGTATTGGGTGGAGTGCCCTATAGATGTTTAGTTGGTTGATGGTATTCAATTTTTTATACCGTTGATGATTGTCTGTGTCATTCTATCAACTATTGAGAAAGGGATATTGAAGTCTCAAACTTTTTATCTTGGAATAAATCCTACGTGGGTATGCAGTGTAAGTATTTTTGGATCTGATTCACTAAAATGTTGCACATAATTTTTATATCAGTATCAACGATCTGTTCAGTGGTTTACTTAAAAACAACAGCAACAACAACAATTATTTTTTTTTGGAGAGGGGTGGCTGCATGGCTTATTCGGTTGAATATCCTTATTTCTTCTCAGGTCATGATTTCGTGGTTGGTGAGTTTGAGCCTCACTTGGGGCTTGATGGCTGCTCTCCACACGAGCCTGCTTCGGATCCTCTGTGGCCCTCTCTCTGGCCCTCCCCATGCCCTCTGTCTCTCTTTCAAAATAAATAAGTAAACATTAAAAAAATTTTTTAAAGCTAGTTTTTTTTTAAGTTTATTTATTTATTTTGAGAGAGAGAGAGAGAGAGAGAGAGTACGCTTGCATTGGGGAGGGGCTGAGAGAGGGAGAGAGAGAATCCTAAACAGACTCTGTGCTGTCAGTGTGGAGCCCAACACAGGGCTTGAGTTCACGAACTGAGAAATCATGACAGCCAAGATCAAGAGTTGGTCTCTTAAGCAACTGAGCCACACAGGCGCCCTTGTTAATAGTTTTCTCAAACCGTGTTTGGTCTGATTTGGTAATGCAGGTCTCATAGAATGAATTGGAGAGTATTCCCTCTTCTGCGATTTTCTGGAAGAGTTGGCATAGAATTGTTAATGATTTTTTCATTAAGTGCTTGGTAGAATTCACCAGTGCATGCCATTTAAGCCTGGAGTTTTTCTTTTTGGAATGTTTTTAAACCATAAATCCAATTTCTTTAATAGATATTGATCCATTCAAGTTATCTTTCTTCAGTGAGCATTGGTAACTGTCTTTCAAGGAATTGGAAATATATTAGCATTATAGATAATACTTATTATCCCTATAATGTTTGTATATTAATACAAATGAATAGATATTACTCTAGTGATGTCATCCTTCCTGATACTAGTAATCCATATCCTCCCTCCCTCTCTCCCTCTCTCTCTCTCTCTTTTTCCTGATTAGTCTGGCTAATCGATCTTCTTGAGGAACCAACTTTTGATTTGATTGATTTTCCTTATTGTTTTCCTGTCTTCTGTTTCATTTATTTCTCCTCTTATTTTTAGTATTTACTTTCTGTGAGTTACTTTGGGTTTCATTTGCTTTTCCTAGTGTTTTAAGGTAGAAGCTTAATTTAGGAAATTCACAAATATTTGGAAATTAAACAATTTCTAAATAACCCATGGGTCAAAGGAGAATCAGGAGAGAAATTACGAAATATTTTGAACTGTGTAAGCAAAAATACAACATATAATTTGAGACTTTTCTGTTTTAATTTTACTGCTATAAAATTCTTCTTTGTAGTATTTTAAATGCATCCCACAGATTTTGATGTATTTCCATTTTTATCCAGTTCAAAATACTTTCAATTTCTTTTTTGAGTTCTTCTTTTACCATGGGTTATTTAGAAGCCTGTTATTTGATTTTGAAATATTGGAGGGAGTTTTCAGATACCTTTCTGTTACTGATTTCTATTTTCATAACATTGTGATTGGAGAATGCAATTGGCATAATTCAAATCCTTTTCTATTTACTAAGACTTGTTCTGTGGTCCTGAATATGGTCTATCTTGGTAAACTTTCTATGTATACTTAAAAGGAATGTGTATCTGTCGTTGGGCAGAATGTTCTGTAAATATTAAGTCCAAGTGGTTGGAAGTGCTGTTCAAATTTTCTCTAATCTTACTAATTTTCTACTTTCTTCCTGTATCAATTATTGATAGAAGGATTTAAAAATTAGTAACTTAACAGCTTTGGATTTGTCTGTGTCTCTTGTAGTTCTGTCAGTATTTGCTTCCTGTATTTTGAAGCTAAGTTATTAGTTGCATAAATGTTTAGGATTATGTCCTCATAGTGAACTCACTTGTTTATCATTATGAAATGACCCTCATATCCCTTGTAATATTATTTGCTATAAAATCTGCTTTGTGTGTTACTAACATAGCCACTCCATCCATCCATCCCTCCATCTGTCTTCTCTTCAATTTTCTTTTGAGCACGATTAGCGTATGTTTTCCTGTCTTTTTACTTTTAACAACATTTGTATCTATATTTAGAGTACATTTTTTGTAGGCAACATATAATCGGGCGTTTTTTTTTTTCAAATTCAATTGGTATAGTATATAGGTAGTTTACATTTTATGTGATTATTATGGTTGTGTTCAGGAATCTCCATCTTAATTTTTTTATTTCTCCCATTTGTTTATTATTTGTCATTCCTCTTTTTTCATCTTATTTTGGATTAGTTGAGTTGTGTTTTTTAGGTCTTTTTGGATTTTTTTTTAAGTTTCCATTTTATTCCTTTGTTAGCTTGTGAGGCATACCTTATTTGTTTGTTTGCTTTAAGGTTTATCATGTGTTTTTTTTTTAACTCATCTCAGTCTATCTTCAACTTATATTTTATGACTTCATGTATAGTATGAGAGCATTCCAATAATACATTTCCATTTCCCCTCCTCTGCCTTTGGGTTCTTGTTATATATTTTACTTCTGTATATTTTGCCACAATACTTTATTGTTATTTTTGCTTTAAATAGTCTATTAATAGTCTTTAAAAATTTTATTTGAAGAGGCACCTCGGTGGCTCAGTCGGTTAAGCATCCAACTCTTGATTTCGGCTCAAGTCATGATCTCATAGTTCGTGAGTTTGAGCCCTGTGTCCAGCTCTGCACTGGCAGCTCAGAGCCTGCTTGGGATTCTCTCTCTCTCTCTCTCTCTCTCTCTCTCTCTCTGCCCCTTCCCCCACTTGTGCACACACGCTTTCAAAATAAATAAAGTTTAAAAATATTGAAATAAAAATTGTTTTAAAAAGAAAAGGTGTATATGTATTTACTGACATGTGCTCTTATTCCTTTGTGTTGATCTAGATTTTATTTGGTACTTCTCCTGGAGGACTTTTTTTTTTTTTCTTTTACTTTTTAATTTACATCCAAGTTAGTTAGCATATAGTGCAATAGTGATTTCAGGAGTAGAATCCAGTGATTCATTCCCTACATGTAACACCCAGTGCTCATCCCAACAAGTGTCCTCCTTAATGCCCCTTGCCCATTTAGCCCATCCCCCCTCCCAGGACCCCTCCAGCAACCCTCAGTTTGTTCTCTATATTTAAGAGTCTCTTGTGATTTGTCCCCCTCCCTATTTTTATATTGTTTTTGTTTCCCTTCCCTTATGTTCATCTGTTTCATATCTTAACTTCCACAAATGAGTGAAGTCATATGATATTTGTCTTTTTCTGACTAATGTAGCTCAGCATAATACACTCTAGTTCCATCCATGTTGTTGCAAATGGCAAGATTTCATTCTTTTTGATCGCCCAGTAATACTCCCTTGTATATATATACACATCTTCTTTGTCCATTCATTTGTCAATGGACATTTGGGCTCTCTTTCCATACCTTGGCTATTGTTGATAGTGCTGGTATAAACATTGGGGTGCATGTGCCCCTTCGAAACAGCACATCTGTATCCTTTGGATAAATACCTAGCAGTGCATTTGCTGTGTCATAGGGTAGTTCTGTTTTTAATTTTTCGAGGGACTGGTATTTTTGCGTGGAGGACTTTTTAAAACATTTTTTGTGGTGTAGGTCTGCTCACGATGAAGAAGTATTTTTTAGGGGTGCTTGGGTGGTTCAGTCGGTTAAGTGCCCAACTCTTGGTTTTGGCTTAGTTCATGATCTCATGGCTTCGTGGGTTCGAGCCCCTCATTGAGCTCTGTGCTGGCAGTGTGGAGGTTGCTTGGGATTTTCTTTCTCTCTCTCTCTCTCTCTCTCTCTCTCTCTCTCTCTCTCTCTGCCCTTCCCCCACTTGTGCTGTCTCTGTCTCTCTGAAATAAATAAACTTGAAAAAGTTTTAAAGAAGAAGTATTTTTTAATTTTTGTATGTTTGGAAGGCTTTATTTTGCCTTCATTTTTGAAAGAAGTTTCTCAGGTAGAATTTTAGGTTGATAATTTTCCTTTTAGTACTTTTAAGATGTTGCTTCAGTGACTTCTGGCATGTGTTATTTTCAAAGAGAAGTCTGCTGTGATCTTTGTTCCTCTTTACATAATGTCTTTTTAAAATCTGGCTGCTTTTACAGTTTTCTCTTTCTCATTGGTTTTAAGCAGTTTGATGATTATTTTAATTTTCTTGTAGTTTTCTTCAAGTTTCTTTTGCTTGGAGTTTGTTCTGGTTCTTGGATATACAAGTTTATAGATTTTATCAAATTTGGAAAAATTTTGGCCATTATTCAGGTTTTTCCTGTCTTCCCCTTCCTCCTGACAAATCCCATTACTTGTATGCTAGATTGCTTGATGTTATTCCTCTTCTGCAGTTTTTCTAGAAGAGTTGTCATTGAATCGTTAGGATTTTTCATTAAATGCTTGGTAAAATTCACCAGTGAATGCCATTTGAAACTGGAGTTTTTCCTTGTTGGAAGGCTTTAAACTATAAATTCAATTTCTTTAACAGACATCGATCTGTTCACATTATCTGTTTCATGTTCAGTGAGCTTTGGTAGCTTATGTCTTTCAGTGATGAGAAGATAATGTATATCGGTATAAAGGTATGTTTGTAAAGATATGTTTTCTGTGTCAGATTTTTTATCTTTTTTTTTAAGTTGTATTTATTTAAGTAATCTCTACATCCAACATGGAGCTCAAACTCATGACCCCAAGATCAAGAGTCGCTTGCTCTTCTGACTGAGCCAGCCAAGTGTCCCATGTGTCAGATTTTTAAAAGATATAATGGGTTTGTCTTAAATGAAACTTACCTTACTGTTATTAATATTATGCCTGTTTAGACTATTCCAGATCTTTTGTTATCATCATTTAAGATCATCAGTGGGACTGTCAGTGACTTTACTGGACCATAATAACAGCATCTATTCTGAACACGTTCAATTTTTCTGGCACCATCTGTATGACTTCTAGCTGCCGTCAGGATATTTGCCTCTAATACCCCAGCTTCTAGCACATCCTCTTTCGTGAGTTAGACACTAGGAGAATTGTGGTTATGGACTGATGAGTCTCTTAGTTTGAGGTCTTAAGAGGAATTGAAGACTTAGGCCAACTGTAATTTTGTAGCCCTGAGACACATTTTGCTTCCGTGGTCACTTCTGTCTTTGCTGGAGATTGCTAGAAGTGTGACTTCTATGAAAATACCCTATGTGTTGAACTTTCAAATCTCTTTTGGAAGAATAAGAAATACACTGTGTCTTTGATAACAGATAAATGCACACACTATCTAAACGCACTATCTATCTTCCAGATAGATTATGGCTGTTAAAAAATTTACCAGCTTTTATTTTGCTGAATTTTCTTGAACTCTTGTTATGTATTACTTACAGCGTATTTTATTTGTTTGTTTATTTAAGTTTATTTCTTTTTGAGAGAGTGCTCATGTGCGTGCCCACAAGTGACACCGTTTACCGACTGAGCCACCCAGGCGCCTCCAAGTGTCTTTTTGTTAATGAAAATCTTTCCATTGTCATCTTTGCATTTTCAGAAGGGCACCAGTGCAGCATTGTCAGAACAGGTGCGGGGTATCTAATAAAGTATTCTTTAAAAGAAACATGAAAGACAAAAATTACAATTTCCTTTGTCCCTGCAAGGTCACTGTTCCACCCATAACCACCCTTTCCTTTTTCCTCAGACTTGTAATACTGCCTTTCACCATAGAGTCATTGTTGGGAAATTTATCTAATCACCAACGTCACCCCCATCGTTCTTATTAAGGAGGAAAAGGTTAAAAGTCCCCCGCTGTGTATAACTGGTATGTCCCTTAAAAGGCTCGTATACAGCTAAGTCAGCATACGCAGCATAGGCAGCAGCACACTATCTGAGCAAAAATTTGAAAACTGTCATGTTCTTCTCCCTTTCTTTTCTCGCCTCTTTTTCCTACCAACAGCCTTACTCAAAAGAGTAAAATAAAAGAGCCTCCCTAGCTCCTGCTTGGGATTTGCTGTCTCTCCCTCTCTTTTTCTGCCCTTACGTGTGTGCACTCACGTGCTCTCTCTCAAAATAAGTAAACGTTAAAAAAAAAAAAAACTCATTAAAAAAGATACTTGAACTGATAGACGTGGCTATTTTTAGATTTTATTTGTTTTGGTGTGAATTGTTTAAGTTTTGCCACAGAAATATTAACATGCTTGATCTGGGGATATTGCCATAGACCCTGCTAGGGGTGTTATGTAAATGTATGGTTCTCACAAGGATTACCTTTTCAAAATTTGGCCGATTTTGAAATATGACACCTTTCTGACTCCTGAATAAGGGATAATGGAACCGTATTTTACATTTGGTAGTTTGTGTGGAATCTCACAGAAAATTGGGATTGGGGCGTAGAATCTATTGTTCTAAGCAGTACTGTAAGTGATTTTTCTAGTATCAAAAATTTGGAAAATACAGCCTTTAGCTGGATTCCTGACTGTTTACCCACTGGTTGACGATAATCACTTCTTAGAAACTAGTTTTCCTACTTCTAGCCTCTCCTCCATTTCCTCAATTCTGTTTTCTGAATCAAAGGACCATTTTCTTGGTCTTTTCAGAAGCTACCCTCTCAAAGAGGTAGAGTTTAGGAGACCTGAGTTGTAGTTACTACTCTGCCTGCCAACAGCTGTACAGCCATGAGCACATCACATAACCTCTCTGTGCCTCAGTTTCCCTACCTTTAAATGGGAGTGTCAAACTAGGTGTCAGGTTGTACCTGTATGCTCGTATTACGCCAGTACTCAAAGAATAGCAAATATTTGTGTCTGTTAGAAAATGTTCATATTTTCTTCTTTGAGGATGATGTTAATTGTATCCATAGAGCACATCATATTTCATAGGGGTGCCAGAATTTAAGTCATATTTGAGTTTCCCCAACTGATCCCAAAATGCCTTTTTAAAATCATCTCTACGTCTAATGTGGGGCTCAAAGTCACGACCCCAAGATCAAGCGTCACATGCTATACCGACTAAGCCAGCCAGGCACCCCCCAAAATGTCTTGAATAGTTGGGATTTTTTCTTACAAGCATTTTTTTTGTTTTGAACAAAGATCCAGTCAGAATGCATTGAATGCATTTGGTTGTGTCTCCTTAGTCCTTTTTAATCTAGAACAGTCTCCCACCTTTATTTTCATGATGTTGAGTTTTTGAAGACTAGACCCGTTGTCTTGCAGCATGTCCGCACGCACATATATGTTTTTAAGGAACAAAAATGAGTCAATCATCCTCTCTGCTTTTACCCATTATCCAGTCTCAGTCTGACACAGTTAGCTCCCATTATTTCCCTCACATGAAACGCCTTTTTGATGTTGTATCTGCTTCTTCAAGTCCTAGAATTTTTTTTTTTTAATTTTTTTTTTCAACATTTTTTATTTATTTTTGGGACAGAGAGAAACAGAGCATGAACGGGGGAGGGGCAGAGAGAGAGGGAGACACAGAATTGGAAACAGGCTCCAGGCTCTGAGCCATCAGCCCAGAGCCTGACGCGGGGCTCGAACTCACGGACCGCGAGATCGTGACCTGGCTGAAGTCAGACGCTTAATCGACTGCGCCACCCAGGCGCCCCTCAAGTCCTAGAATTTGACGATTTGTCAAGTAGTGACCTAACACTTCGAGTCCTAACTGTGTGACTGACGGGCTGTATGACTTTGGCGAAGTCATTTCCTCCCTCTGAGACTAGGTTTCCTCAACCATAAAATGAGGAGTGCAGTCACATGCCATCAAATAGCCCACAGTTATCAAGAGATAAGTGTTGTGGGGAAGTACTTCCTGAAGGAGTTCAGGAGCACTGGTATATTACTATCGGCTGGTGTGTATCATGGATGAAATTGAACTTGAGGGGAACTGTCCTGTAGCCTAAATGAAATAACGTCTGTTGAAAGTTCTGAGCATAAGTTTCCTGTAAGGGTAGCGTGTTTAGCAAACGAAAAGGAGAAAGGTGGTTGGGTGGTAGGAGGGCTGTTCCGGGATGCTGATGTATAATCATGACAGTATTTTAAAGAATGTTTCAGAACTTCGGCTGCCCTGATGGTACTGCGTGAAATGTTTTAATGGATACTATTCTCGGTCGCTTTCTTGAGCGGGGATAATTATGGATCTGATTTTCCTCTCTTTTGTTTTTACAGCTGTATTATCAAGTCCTAAATTTTGGAATGATAGTTTCCTCGGCACTAATGATCTGGAAGGGGTTAATGGTCATAACCGGAAGTGAAAGTCCGATCGTAGTGGTGCTCAGGTAACAACTTCTTTTCACGGCATAGGGTTGCACGGCATTACTTGAGAGAAAAATGGACTAACTGAATAACCGTTGTATTATTGTTCTAGAAACTACATTTTCCCGGAAGAGGGCCTGAAAGAGAGTTAATTCCTATTTTTCAACTGTGAGAAATGCACAGCCTTGTTAGGCACTTACCATTCAGACCCCAAAGGGCTCATGACTTTTCTATAAAACAATTATTCTGTTGTGAGTTTTCTTTTGGGCACATCTCTTAAGAAAGTGTTTCAATGTGGGGCGCCTGGGTGGCACAGTCGGTTAAGCGTCCGACTTCAGCCAGGTCACGATCTCGCGGTCCGTGAGTTCGAGCCCCGCGTCGGGCTCTGGGCTGATGGCTCAGAGCCTGGAGCCTGTTTCCGATTCTGTGTCTCCCTCTCTCTCTGCCCCTCCCCCGTTCATGCTCTGTCTCTCTCTGTCCCAAAAATAAATAAACGTTGAAAAAAAAAATAAAAAAAAAAAAAGAAAGTGTTTCAATGTACTGTGTTTTCCTGAAATTCTTCTGTCTTGGTGCGCTCTTCATTTTGATACGTCAAGACTGATACTTAGTTGTTAGTTTACTAGATTCTGTATCCTCTCCACGAATTAAGAGTTTTTCTGCGGCACTCAGTGTCAGTACAGAAACATCACTGATTATTTCCGTGTTTCCTGCTGACCTTTAAATATCACTTCTAAATAGACTTCAGGAATTTTGAAGATACCAATGCTGTCTCTTAAAGTGACAGATAGTACTGATTTTTTTCCCACCGTTCCTCCTTCTCTACCCTCGTATTCATACTCTAGTGCTTTAAAAAAAAAAAACTAATTTAGTAACTAACTCCTTCTGGGAGAATTACCACTTGGTTGTTGACTTGAATCATTATAGTTCTGTCTTATTTGGGGTTTAATTATGTAAGCTGTTTTCAAGTCTTTTCTGGAGATAATGGTGTGTTAATATAAAATAAATCACTAATGTGTAAATTCTAGGTACTAGTACATTACTGTTAACAAGATCAATTTGATTCCTTCATTGTCATATTAGGATATATGAATTTCAGGGGCGCCTGGGTGGCTCAGTCAGTTAAGTGTCCGACTTCGGCTCAGGTCATGATCTTGCGGTCCGTGAGTTTGAGCCCCACATTGGGCTCTGTGCTGATAGCTCAGAGCCTGGAGCCTGCTTCAGATTCTGTGCCTCTTTCTCTCCCTGCACTTCCCCCACTTGCTCGCTCTCTCTCTCTCTCCCAAAAATAAATAAACATTAAAGAAAAATTTAAAAGAAAGAAAAGGATGTACAAATTTCAGCAACAAGTGGTTCCAGCACCAGGGCGCTGGGTCTCCAGTGTCTCACTCTTACCTTACTTGCTCTTACGCATACCTTTGTTCTGTGTTTCTTAACAGTCACACGGAACTGTAATTCTAGAGATCCAAAGGCATGGATTTTATTAGCTGGGAAAGCATTTAATGTACTAGTCTGGGAGTATAGAGACTTCGCCCCAAGTTCCCAGACAGTTTTAGACTCAGTGGAGAGCTTCAGTTTCAAACACTGACAGGAGAAACCACACTAATTGGCGCTGTGGGGAAAAGGTGTAGAGAGAGAGCCCAGGGAGGCTTCTTTTCGAGAGTCTTCTGGGATTCTTTCATATTGAGTTCCCTTCAGTGGAGCTGCTTAAGGACAGTCTCATGACCCTTGAAATGGAGATGTTGGAGTGAACAGGGGATTCAACTAAGGCCCTGCTCAACACAGTGGTGGTCCTGCAGCTAGAAAATTTGTAATATCATTTGGGGCTTAAAGTGGCATTGGGATAAGTTATTTTGCAGCGAGGTTTATTTATATACTAAGCTTTTCCGATTACCAGTGTGAAATAAGGAAAGGAAATTAAAAGAGACCAGGTCTTGGGGGGTGCCTGGGTGGCTCAGTCGGTTAAGCGGCCGACTTCAGCTCAGGTCACGATCTCACGGTCTGTGAGTTCGAGCCCCGCGTCGGGCTCTGGGCTGATGGCTCAGAGCCTGGAGCCTGTTTCCGATTCTGTGTCTCCCTCTCTCTCTGCCCCTCCCCCGTTCATGCTCTGTCTCGCTCTGTCTCTCTCTGTCTCAAAAATTTAAAAAAAAAAAAAAGAGAGACCAGGTCCTATTGGAAGAGAATTTGATCAAGGCTGGAAGGAGCAGTCACTAGAGAAAGGTCATGTATGTGATTGGGTGGCCAAGTAAAAGCAGGTGGCCCAGGTTTCATGTAACTTCGAGGAATATAATTTTTACACGGAACCAAATATGCCTCAAAGGACTCAGGCTAACCGAGAACCCGCCTTTAAGACTTTTGTGAAGTCATTGGGGATAAAGACAAATAACTTTTCTTTGTTAATAATTTTTTATTTATTTTTTAAATTCCAATATAATTAACACGCAGTGTTATGTTAGTTTCAGGTGAAGACAAATACTTTCATTAACTGAGTTTCAGGGAACTTTCAAAACTTTTTTTCCCCTTTAATAGAGCTGAAGTCAGTTTTAAAATATTTCAGTGGTTTATATATAACTTTTTATAAAGCTTATGATTGATGTATTAAATTTTTTTTAATGTTTATTTCTGAGACAGAGAGAGACAGAGCACAAGTGGGGGAGGGGCAGAGAGAGGGGGTGACACAGAATCCGAAGCAGGCTCCAGGCTCTGAGTTGTCAGCACAGAGCCCGACGCGGGGCTCGAACCCATGAGCTGTGAGATCGTGACCTGAGCCGAAGTCTAGATTTCTAGATTTTTCTCTCTGAAATCGAGACTCTTGTTTTCACCCTACCCTGGACATCTCCATCTGAATGTTGACCGGGCACTTGAAACTCCATGTAATAAAAGTAAAATTCATCTCCTTTCCCACACACCTGTTCTTCTTCCCCCTGTTTCTGTGACCGTCACTGCCATCTGCTCTGTTGCCATTGTTGAAAACCCCGGAGTCATCCTTGCTCACCCCTTTCTGTCATATCCGATTGGCCGTCAAATTTGTTGTTTTCCCTCTCGCTTCTACTCTTTTATAATTGTCTCCCCTGCTGTTGTTCTATTTCAGGCCCTCAGCATTTCCTGCCTGGGCTGTTGTAGTGACCTTTAAAAATATGCTTTTATAATCAGAAAAAGTTAATATATTTTCATTGTATGAAACATTGAAAACACAAAGAATCTAGATGAAGTGAAGTCACCCGTAGTTTGGGATATAATGAATATACCATTTTGGTCTCTTTTTTCATGTATATTACTTCCTACATAATTGAAGTAATTCTCTATGTGCATCCTTTTCTTTATTTGTCCCCTTGTGATTCTCCCGTGTCCATATTTTTAATAACACTTTTAATGGTTGCCAAGTAATAGTTTGGACACCTGGTCTCCCAGTCTACCTTCTGGTCTTTTCTAGTTTACTCACTATTTCAGTAAATATTTGAATGTCCTGGGGCGCCTGGATGGCTCAGTTGGTTAGGCATCCGACTTCGGCTCAGGTTATGATCTCACCATTCGTGGGTTCAAGCCCTACATCAGGCTCTGTGCTGACAGCTCAGAGCCTGCAGCCTGCTTCCGATTCTGTGTCTCCCTTTCTCTAACCCTCCCCCACTCACATTCTGTCTCTTTGTCTCTCTCAAAAATAAACATTAAAAAAATTAATATTTAAATATCCTTTACTCTGTAGCTTCTGAAGTGATGTTTCTTTTTTTTTTTTTTTTAATGTTTATTTATTTTTGAGACTGAGAGAGACAGAGCATGAGCAGGGAAGGGGCAGAGAGAGAGGGAGACACAGAATGTGAAGCAGGCTCCAGGCGCCGAGCCGTCAGCACAGAGCCCGACGCGGGGCTCGAACTCCCGAACTGTGAGATCATGACCTGAGCCAAAGTCAGACGCTTAACCGACTGAGCCACCCAGGTGCCCCAGAAGTGACGTTTCTTAAATGCAGTATGATTATAATACTCCCTAAAATTCTAGTGTGGTTCAGAGGCAGTTTAGCACAGTGAGAGTAGATTCTGTTGGACTCCCTGTTCAAATCTCCTCTTTATAATTTTTTTGGTTGATAACTTTCTACCTTTCTTAGCCTCAATCTCCTTATCTATAAAGTTGGGGTACTAATAATATCTAAATCAGGGGCACCTGGGTGGCTCCATCGGTTGAGCATCCAGCTTTGGCTCAGGTCATGATCTCACAGTTCGTGGGTTCAAGACCACATTGGGCTCTGTGCTGACAGCTCAGAGCCTGGAGCCTGCTTCAGATTCTGTGTCTCCCTCTCTCTTTGCCCCTCCCCCACTCATTCTCTCTCTCTCTCTCTCTCTCTCTGTGTCTCTGTCTCTCTCTCTCTCTCAAAAAAATAAGTGTTAAAAAAATTAAAAAATAATATCTACATCATAGAGTTGTTCTGAAGATTGTTTAAAAGAAACAGAATAGCACTTTGTATACAGTAAATGCTCAATAAAAATGAACAATTAAACCATAGCAACTCCGCTTTATTCTGTTTTATTTATATAATTTTCAAGCAAGGTTTTATTTGAACAAAGGATGTCACTGATTTTAAAAAGCAATCAGTAAAACCTTGTAAACTACATGTCTAGAATACTTTCTCTAACGTTTTCACCAAACACCTGTCCTGTCTTCTGCCTGAACATCTGAAAAAGGGAACACTCATTGTCCCCTGAGGAACCTTAACAAAAGTGTTGAGAATAAACATGTCCTGGAAAATCCATGTACGTAGCGGTTCCCAGATTTTACTATACGTTGGAATCACCTGGGGTCTTTACAGAATTGGCCAGAGATACGACCTAGAGTGTGGAATTTTTTTAAAAGTTCCCCGGGTGATTCTAATATGCAGCAAAGTTTGGGAACCACTGCTATATTCTCTTATGAGGTCCCGGAATCTCCATAAAGACATGTTTGGACTTTGTCATTATTCTTATATTAGATTTTAATCCTTATCTATTTTTCTCTTACTAAATCTATTGTTACTGAGCACTGGAGTTCAAGTTTCAGAAAATAATACTGATGAGCTATTTCTTCATAGCAAGAAAAGATTCGTTAATTAGTACAAATATCATAGGACCTTTGAAGAACTTGGTACAGGGTGGACCAGAGGAGAGGTGAGAAGACGCTCTAGAAGTTTGTCTTCACTAATCACCATGGCATTGAATCCGTTACTCGTTTCTGAAATTCTTAGACAAAAATCCCTGCTCTTGTTCTTGGTTTTCTTTCTTGTGTCTCTTTTTAAAATAAATAAGTGGAGAACAGAAGCATTATCTTTGTAGCTGACTGTTCTTTGACTTGATGGGCTGTTTTTCCTTCTAAATGGGTCGAAACCGTAAGGTCATCTTGGTCTATATCTTTATAAATGGCAGAAGATGACCCAGTTCTCATTTGAATGTATTTTGAATAATGTTTAGCGTTTTCAGATGAGGTGGGAATAAGGGCAGTGTTTATAAAGTTCATTCTTTTATATTCCATTTGTCACTTGAAATTTTAAAAGGTTAAGGAATTAGTAACATTGCCCTTTTCAAGATTTAAGCTCCTTTGAATAGTAATGCTTGAAATGGATCTAGTTAGTAAAGGCTAAAAACTGAAGAAAGCTTTGTGTAACTCATTAGTCCGTGGAAACCATATTTTGAGAGTATACATTGATGTTGATATATTTGTTAAGGTATTGAGTATATCCCAAGGGTGGTACTTTTGATTGTTTTGTTGAGTATCTAATTTTGAAAGTAATTTTAATCTCACACTTTCTTTTTACTAACTTCTTTCCCTCATAGTGGCAGCATGGAACCTGCATTTCATAGAGGAGATCTTCTCTTTTTAACAAACCGAGTTGAAGATCCCATCCGAGTGGGAGAAATTGTTGTTTTTAGGATAGAAGGAAGAGAGATTCCTATAGTTCATCGAGTCTTGAAGATTCATGAAAAGTATGTGCAAACTATATTTTCTCTGTTTTAAAATGTTTTCATGTTTTAGTGTTTTCAGTATTTAATTTTGATGGCCTGAAGATTAAGAAGTGTGGGGAGTACCTACACACTTCTTCCAGTCCATTTTTATGAACACCTGAAGGTTTGGTAGACGTTTGGAAAACTAAGTAATTTATTAATTCATTTATCTCTCTGAAGTTTTTTCTGGAAGTTTTTCTTGGTTGCCTTTTACTTCACAATCAGATCCATAGCCCTGTATATCATCCCCCAGAGCACATGACATAACAGATGGTCCCAAATAGAATCTTCTTTTTTTTTTTAATGTTTATTTTCGAGAGAGAGAGAGCACGCAAGCACAGGAAGGGCAGAGAGAGAGGACGACACAGAATCCGAAGCAGGCTCCAGACTCTGAGCTGTCAGCACAGAGCCCGACACGGGACTTGTACTCACAAACCGCGAGATCATGACCTGAGCCGAAGTCGGATGCTTAACCCACTGAGCCACCCAGGCACCCCCCCCAAAATAGAATTTTCTAATGTAATTGATGAAGTAGCCCTCCTTAATCTTTTGAAAAAAAATCTTTAAGGCAATCTAATAGATAATGTCAAACAAGAATAAATTTATCAACTTTGTCAAATTCCAAAGAAACTTTCTGAAATACAATTACTCTTTTAAACATAGACCCTTCTTGCATTTCAGAATTAGAACGGGGTGGGGTGGGGGGCACCTGGGTGGCTCAGTCGGTTAAGCATTGACTTGAGCTCAGGTCATGATCTCACAGTTCGTGAGTTCAAGCCCTGCGTCTGTGCTGACAGCTCCGAGCCTGGAGCCCGCTTCAGATTTTGTGTCTTCCTCTCTGTCTGACCCTCTCCCACCCTCACTCTGTCTCTCTCTCTCTCTCTCTCTCTCTCTCTCTCTCTCTCTCTCTCAAAAATAAATAAACATTAAAATTTTTAAAAAAATTTTTTAAAGATTTAGAATTAGAAACAACATATGTAAAACCTTTAGAATCACCTGGAGGTAGAGGTGGGGCATAACAATGAGCAAAAAACTTTACCTCTCTTGGTGGGCTTCTTTATCTGTAACATTAAGAGGTTTTGGAAGATGAATTACAAGATCTGTGAGTTCTGAGCCTGTGCTTCCCTGTCCAGCTCTGTATTCCTCACCCCCTCCCTTCTAAATCTATGGTACTTCTAGCTTAGGAATCATTCAGGAGGGAAGGAAAGAAAAAAATGAAGGAAAAAGTAGGTGTCCTGGAGGACACACAGAGGACAAGTAGAACAGTGAGCAGGTGATTTAGGCTCTTGGGAATGAGGGGGATCCCTAAATAAATATTATCTTATTCTTACCCCACCCTCTAGGGTAATTTTTTTCTCCACTTAAAGAAGAAGGACCTGTCAACTGTTGCTTTTCGACAATCCCCTAAACATTCTAGTTTAAGAGAATTCCTTCTTCACTGATGAAATGAAGATCTGACTGCTCTTTTTTTTCAAACTTCAGTCTGTATTTTGAAAGATTATAATTTTAAAACAGCATTCTGCTATTGACTAGAAAGGAATGACTGAATTTTTTTAGAAATTTAGTTTGGGGGCGCCTGGGTGGCTCAGTCACTTAAGCGTCCGACTTCGGCTCAGGTCGTGATCTCACGGCTCATGGGTTCAAGCCTGTGTCAGGTTCACGCTGATAGTGCAGAACCTGCTTGGGATTCTGTCTCTCTCTCTCTGCTCCTCCCCCTCTTGCGTTTTCTCTCTCTCAAAATAAATTTTAAAAATTAAAAAAATAACTTTAGTGTGGAATTATGAAGGTTTATTCCGTACAGGTAGTGTTTTCCAGAGTCTCAGAGTTAATTTGCGGCGTTTGTTCTTAGCGTTGCCTTTTGTAAGCAAAGCAGAACCAACTGAACTTAGCAGAGAAAATCAAATTAAACTCAGGCCCTGCGTTGGGTAGAGCAAAAGTTGTCCATTTTC